TAAAACGCGGCCCTGTCGATGAAACACACAGCCAGGCAGACGAGCTTTGAGCCAGCTCCCATGTCAGAGGACGAAGAGAGTACATCCAGCCAGTCACGTTCAGAGAAACAGGAGAACACAGGAAAACAGGCCGATCTCCAACATCTATAAACAAAGTTGTTGATAGCAGCAGCACAGCTGATATTTCTCTCCAGGATGGAGTCACAGCCAAACAGGACAAGACCAGATGAAGCTACTATGAGAAAAAGCAGAGAGAAAAGAAACGTTAGAGATTGAACTAACAGATTCTGCAGAGTGGGAGAATAGAGATAGAATGAAGCAGAAAATGAAAAAGGGATCCCTAGGTCCTCCAGCATTTTAAGCCTATAGCAGCAGAACCATAGAGATAGCTATAGTTATGCTTTAATTGCCTGTATAATAATGCTGTTGAATAAGAGACTTTCAGATATATATATACATATGTATGTATATATATATATATATATATAGCTGACGTGACAAGTACATTTTTCCACTGTAAGATCGATAAAGTCAATCAATCCAACCACCAATCAAAAACTTACATGATATCCCAATACACATAGTGCAACATATTTCAAGTCCTAATTAATCCTGTTTACTCTTATAATCTGATATTCAACGTTGCCAAGAGTAAAAAGTCATGAAAATAAACAAAAATTTTATCAAACTGTGAGAAGTTGGTGTATAGGAGTGGAATGAATGAGACAAAACAACCTTCCTAAGATGTTTTGTTTTTAAAGGATTATATTTTATTTGACAGATATCTTCATAAAAACATAGAACAGACCAATGAGAGGAGAGGGGAAGTGAAGAAGCTTAAGGAGCAACTGGCCGTCTTTCAACAGAAGCTTGAGTGGTAAGAAACTTCCAACACGCATATGTATTTACGATAAATTGAACTTGATCCGCTAGATTATTATAATTTAACATGATCCAAAAGGTGATCAAAAAGGCAAAGCTATTGTTTACAATTACAAAAGTCTTGTAAACAGTGATTCAAAGGAAATCAAGACATATAAAAAACTGAAATTTTTTTAGACCTAGAACTTAAATGTATTCTGAAGGATTTTAGCGAATATTTGAAAACACCCACCCACTCCACTTGCACATGCACAACCCTGTACCCGATCCCGAGAGAGAACACCTACTGTATTAAACACATGCGAAGGCGTCCCCGAGCCCATTTATCCTCGTACACCTCTGTTTAAAAGTTGCTGTTTGCATCGCTCATGCGAGCTTACTTTCCAAAAAAAGTAAGTGAAAGCACGTAGGACTGCCTTATGTAAACGTATCACCAGAATGATTGTCATTTTGCAGGACTACCTATTTTGATGATCCACCTGGAAAAAGAACATCCTCCGCTATACCTTTAAAATTAGAGAACCACATGCTGCAATTCAAAACCATGATATTAAACAGAGAAACTAAAGAACAAAATCTAAAATTAGATGCAGCAGGCCATCATAGCTCTTCATTAACATCTTTTTTTCTCTGGTCAAAGTTACAAGAACTATGGCTCAGGACCTATGAAGTATCCTCTGGCCGATATGCTTCAGTTTGTTCTGGAGTTCGCCTCCACCCGACCCACCAGCGTTTCCCCGGCTGAAGACCCGAGACTCGCATCGTCTTCGCCGACTCCTGCAAACCCACCCGTCTCTGAAGCCGTTGCCAAAGACATCAGGTTTAAACAGCTTTTCACCATATATGCAAATACAGACAAAAACCACAGTTAACAATTAAGATAAAGGCTGTTTCTGTAATAAGTGTAAAAAATCTATTACTGACACCAGAGCTGAAGCAGACTGATTTATTCATTTTTTTTCATCAGCGAATCTGGAGATAAAGACGTCTCAGACGACCTTTTCTCCAGTGTTTCCAGCTGCCAGCAGACGCCCATTTACAAGCCTTTCACCCAGTGTAAGCACCCATCTGACTGCCCACCACACCCAGCGCCTCACAGCGCCACTGAAGAAGAGCTGCACTTTGTTAAGACCTGCCTGCGACGCTGGAGGACTGAAGTAGAGCACGACATAAACGGTACACCAGTGAAATCCCTCCTAATATCTATCCCCAAGAAAGAGAATGGTTTTAACTGTCGATGGCCTCTCTTCTCTATAAAATGAAGAATGAACGGGACTTTGAATAAAATGCAGTCTTTTCACATGCAAAGTTCCACAGAAATCAAGCTGAATGTTTCCCAGTAATCTTTTTCAACTTGGACAGGGTCTGAAGGTAGACTATGAAGTCAAACTTCTGACTTCTTGGTACTGGATCTGTATGCATATAACCTTCGAAATGCTTACAGAGATTATTTTTAGTGTCTTTTGTCATAAATAAAGGCCGTTATCAGTGTTGACTGCGCATGTGCTCCTTTGGCAGTGTGCTTAAGCTTCATAGTAGGTTCTGCTGCAGGTTTCTTCCTGTTAAAAGGGAGTTTTTCCTCTCCACTGTC